CCATAAATATATATGTAGCATGTTTTCAAGGGATTTGTGAAAGAACAACAAAGCTTTTCCATTTTGTTTAACCTTGACAGCAACAAACTGATTGCCCATTCTGTACCTTCTTTATTGCTAAACTGAAGAAAATGGGGAGATAATCAGAAGCAGATTTTATAGGGAAAGCCTGAAATTTGGGGGCTCAGTGTTCTTCAATGCTACATCCAAAGCACTTGAAATCTACCATTTCTGATATAACGGCAATTATCAGTCTTCTTCCATTACTGCATTGCTCAGGAATGAAATGATGTGACATGGTTCCCAACCTACTTTCATTAATACCTCTAAAGATAAACATGGTTATTTGAAATGTATTATTTCTCCCTTTCATAGAATTTCTGTAGATCTGGATTAGTTTCAAAGCATTACTGTAGATAATACCCACAGGCTTGGGTACACCCACGGGCTTATATTTCTATCTTTGTTGTGCTATTTTCTGGGCGGGAAACACATTTGGATTAAGTACTGACAAGTCTTATGTGCACACACATATGCATTCCAAAGCATATTTTTCTTTGAACCTGAAACAGCAATGTTTTCCCCTCTTCCTTGAGTTTTTTCTATCACAACTACTTTGTCTTGAAAATACTCTTATGCCTGATACAAAGAGAAAGAAGATTGCTTTTGAAGAACTAAATCCAAGTTGTCCACAGCCTTTCCATCTAATTGTGAAATCCTTTCAAAACTAAATTTGAGATTACTTCCGAGTTTTCGTTTCTATTGCATTCTCTTTGAGGTGGTTGAATACCAATTCTATTGTAATGCTATGTAGTGAAAAAATAAAGGTTTTCCCCCTATTTATATGTAATACTTCAGTTTAGAAATCAAGAAAATGCTTTGGAGAATGAGGGAGATGCTCATATAGTTCCTGTCTGCAAAGCCTTAATCCAGCTAGGTTGTTACATAGCAGTCAATCACCTAGCACAAATTTTGTAGCAGTTGCAGATGGCCAGTTGCACAGTCTCGGTGAAGCATTGTAGAACCCCGGTCTCAACTCAGTTACTGTTATAATCACGATTTTTGTTTTAGATCCAGCTGTGAAAGCAGAAGTTACAAGAATGAAGGTTCAGCTACAGAGTTATTCCACGCAAGTAATAGGGAGAACAATTGTTTACCTAAATGGTACGACTCATGCTTGCCGTTTTCATGAGTGCAACTTGGGAAATTTAATTTGTGATGCTGTGGTAAGGAATTAACAAATTAGAATACAAATAACTGGTTCTGTACTTGATGTCCTAAACTATAGTTAAAGGTACATTGTTGCTGTGTGAGGCACACACCCTTAATGTTGAAATCAGGGAACTTCCGTAGTCTCAGAAAGACTATTGAAGTGTAGAATTAATCCTGAAGTTCTATTTATGCACAGTTTAGTAAAATGTGTCCAAATAACCTTAGTAAACCTTAGTAAAGATTGGATCTAAATCAGAAAGGAGTAGCTGTTATTTTGCTCAACAGTTGCCGATAGTTGCAGGGTAATGATAGATCGGGGTGCATAGGCCTTGGCTTAGAAACCCCAAATAGCCTGGCAAAACTTCTACCATGTCTGATTTTAGTTCCCTATCTTGCTTCCAAGCCCTGCCTCTTCGTTCTTGTCTTGCTTTATTTATATCATGGATGCCTCAGATTCTGATTCTTCTCTTGTTTGGCTTGTCCTTCCTCCGCTTCCTTGCCAGCATCATTTCCAAAAGTCCCAACCAGTTGTCTGCTTTCTATGTTTCATTCCTATTGCTGCTGGTCTTGGTACCAGCCCTAATTACAGGTCCTCCTCCACCTGCTCTGTTGTCAAAATCTCCATCACTGTCTTACTAACTCCCACTAGCCTGTCACGCTATTGTGCTTTTTGTCACAGTTGCATCACCCTTATTGCACAGTTCTTGACAGGAGTAACTATTGGTGTTAACAAATGTATGCACCTGGAAATCGTATTGTGCTTAAAAGAAGGGTGCCCAGTTCGCAGACAAAATGGAGTCAGCTGGGAGGCCCAATATAACCCAACAGTTTCTCCCTCAGAGCCACAGTTTCTCTATAGCCGTTACCCCACTTCTCACTTTGCCTCAAAATGGGAAATAATCTTTATCTCTGATGAGGAGCAGCTCAGGATTAAGGTTTCTTTTCTCAAAAAACAACAAATACCCTTCAGTAAGGCTTCCAGAAGTATTGTTAAGGGCAATCTAAAAGGAGGCTACTATTGAAGAGAATGAGCTAAGCCCTCTCTATTCAATTTTATGTCTTTCTCCAAAAAAAAGTATTTCCATACAGATAGCAAAAGAACTCCCATTGGCATTAGTGGAGGCTCTTTGAAAGCCGCATTGCCAGAGAGAAGGGGCCCTTTTGAGGGAGGGGTGCTGCAAGGAAGGAAGATTTGTAACAAAACTACTTTACTATAGACTTGTTTGGTTTTAGTGGAAAACAGCTATGCTGTTAGATATCATCTCAGGAGTTCTAGCTTTGATACACCGATGACCTTAAAAGCTAAGTGAAAAGGATAGTGGAGGATGGATTCACCTTTTTTGTTCTTTATGAACGTTTTTAGGTTTACAATAACTTAAGACACCCAGATGATAATGAGTGGAATCATGTTTCCATGTGCATTGTAAATGGTGGTGGAATACGGTCACCTATTGATGAACAAGCCAATAACGGTATGTGCAATTTCAAGAGCTTTTACACAGTGCCACTTCAATTTCCCTTCGTTTTATATCAATATTTAAGTTTGTACTTGTATCCACTCTATTCAACTACTGTCACAGTTTTCTAAAATCCCTCTTTTGCAACTTCCTTTATGGGAAAAAAGCCCGTTCTTCCATTAATATTTAAAAACTATATCAGGTTGGCCTTTACAAAGCATCTTATTTATGTTTTTATTACTTTGCTGTAAATATCTTATCCAAACCCCCTGTGGCACTACTAGTTTTTCTCTTGGAAAATCATCTAATCATTTTTATACACATTGAAAAACAGTGCTTGCAGATTTTCTGATAATGACCTCTGGTCTATGACTGTAATAAATTCTGATTGATTGATTGAGATTTTCTGATACTTTAAACTGCACATTATTATGTTTCTCCTGGGAGCCGTTCGGATCATCCAGAGAGTGGGAGGTGCTTCAGTCTGCGTCGTTGTAGGCTGAGCTTAATTACTGAGGATTGCTCCGCCCTTCACCACGTGGCTGCCTTGCAATCCCCAGTTTACGCTCAGCCTTCGTGAGATTAGGCTGTGCATTTCTCCACTCTTTGGCCGATTCAAGTTCCTTTTTAATAGCTATAGAAAAGAAAAAAATTTTCACTTCAGGTTTGCCTTGTGTTTCGGTTCTCCTTAGCCTCTGCGCAATTGGGGTGGCTATAGCAGGGGAGCGCGTTCTTCGCCCCCAGGGGGGATAGGGAGCGGGCGGCTTTCGCGCTCCGGCACCAATCCTCCCCCCCCTTCCAATTTGGCTCCTTTCTTGCCGCTTTTTCGCGCCGCTATTGTAGCGGCTCCACTCAATCGCGCTGATAAGCGCAGCTGGTGATCCCCCCCACCGCGAACGCTGATCGCCCCAAAAAGGGGCGAAAAATTGTCTCGCTGCCTCTCTCGGCCTCCAGGTTTGCCGGAGAGGCTTAGTCTTGCCCTGAGCGGCCCGTTTTTAAAGGGATCGTGGGCGGCCGCCATTTTGGGCGCCGCCACGTTTTCGGGCGCTTTGTAACAGGCCTCTGTGACTGCGAAGAAACTAGTCTTCTAATCATAGGCCTCCCAGCCTGTGAGAACTTACTGCATTCTTAGATATTGGCAAATTGTTGGCTTTCCGCAGCAGCTCAGGGCAGGGAATTGCAGCCTATCCCTCCCGGTGGTTGCCTGGGAGCTCCAGCTGCCAGAGGCCTCACTTCAGCCTCAGGCGTTCATTTGGACAATTGGAGAATTTAACACCGTATCTGGGGTCACTCCCTCCTGGGAGCGCTGAACAGGTCCCGGTTTATTTCTTGTCAAAAAGTATTATTATTAAAAATAATAATAATAATAATAATAATAATAATAATAATAATAATAATAA